TCACTTGTAATAGGATAATAATGCTCTGTTTTCTTATATGAATGCGACGTTTTTCTAATAGAAAAGCGATATGCTTTTATTATGGAAATCTTTTCCAATGCGATATTTTTCTAATAGAAATGCGATCCTTTTTTTTCATATGAAAAAAAAAACACAACAGTATGGCACTTTAAACAAAGTAGAAACATTGACAATTATTCATGATAATAAACGCTCATAAGAAGTATTCACGATATTCAATGAGGCCTGGGCGTCGCTCTATTTGGGTTTACAAATCAATGTTGCATAGTTTTTACCACCTTTCAACTTCCACTGAAAACATATCTGGCTAGTGTCAGTCTAGAATAATTAAATGTTGACACAGATATATATATATATCATCTGTCATGTTTGTATGTTATTTTAATAGTTGAATGCAGTTGTTGAAATTCAAATTAGAAAATGCCTATCATAGATATAAGAAGATGTTGTATGAGTGCCAATGAGACAAATCTCCATACAAGACACAATTTGTAAAAGTAAACCACTCTACATCAAAGTACGGCTTTCAACACGGAGCATTGGCTCACACCGAACATCATGCTATAAAGGGCCCTAAAAATGACAAGTGTAAAACGATTCAAACGGGAAAACCAACGGTCTAATCCAAAAACAAAGAAGGTGAAACACTTATGAAACACATCAACAAACGACAACACCTGTACAACAGGTTCCTGACTTAGGACAGGTGCAAACAAATGCAGCAGATATAAACGTTTTAACAGGCGCCAACCTACACCATAACCTGAAATAAAAGTGCATGCATTTACTATGCAAAACATTCAATGAAACGACATAGTTGCAGGCCAAATAATCTATCTGGAAATGAGATTTGATAATGCTGTTACAACTGCATACCAAAGATCGTTGACCTTCTGTCAATGGTTCTCCTAATTGATGTATTCTTCTAATTCTAATGTTTCAAAGATCTCGTTGAAATCTCATTCTGGAAGTTTTTTCCAAACCATGTGATACAAGTGGAAAATATCAATAAATTTCAAAAATATTTTGATCAAACTAAATTCTGTGAAAAAATTGTGTACTTACAACATGCAGTTATTGAGTAAAATAATTTTCAAATTTTATAATCAATCTGGTTAGTGTCATCAGCCAAAACAATGAGATAATATGTGAGGGATACGAAGAAATAATTTTACCATAAATATGTACACCCCATATCATTTTGATTTATAGATATAAGACGATATGGTATGAGTGCCAATGAGACAACTCTCCATCCAAGTAATGATTTGTAAAAAATAACCATTATAGGTCAAAGTACGACCTTAAACCCGGATCCTTGGCTCACAACGAACATCAACCTATAAAAGGCCCCAAAATGATTAGTGTAAAACCATTCAAACAGGAAAATCAACGGTCTAATTTATATATAAAAAAACAACTAGAAACGATAATTTATAGATTGATAGATAGATAGATAGATAGATAGATAGATAGATAGATAGATAGATAGATAGATAGATAGATATTTTTATTTTAAAGTACAACTTGGTACATATACATGAAATACAATATCGCATCTCTAATAAAATAAATAGCATTTAATATTCATTTACAAAAGAAAAACGTAGCATTACATTTTTAATATTCATTTACAAAAGAAAAACGTAGCATTCCATTTTTACAAGGACATATTTTTTTTATTTTGCTTTGATATTGAGCGTATTTCAAAACATAATTTTCGTTTATATTTAAATGTTAAGTTGACACTTTACATGTGACAGTCCATACAGAAATTTTACATTGTTGCTCGTTTAAGTGGTCCTTTTGACTTTTTTTATTTAAAACCACATGCAATGGCTGATAATAATCGATTTCACACTATATTGATTATGGGAATACATAAAACCCTTCTTTGTGTCGCGTGAATTAATTTTAGACTGAACGATTGTATTAATTTTGATATTGAAAAAAATATTTATTGCAAAAAAACATCTTTTTCTTCATGGAATGTCTGCAAATTTACAATTTGATGTTAGAAAATATCACGATATCACATGAGAAACGTTTTTTTTTTTCGATTCGCACTTTGCATAGACTGTAATTCATAAATATTCAAACGAACATAAATTATTAATAAAACAAACTCAACGTTTAAACCCGTTGCATTTGTTTGCACAGGTTTCCTTAGTCGGGAACCTGTTGAACAGAGGTTGTCTTTTGTTTTTGTTGATGGGGTTCATAAGTGTTTCTGCTTTTTTGTTTGTTTTTTTATATAAATTATATCGTTGTTTTTTTATTAGATCGTTGAAGGCTGTACTTTGACCTATAATGGTTTACTTTTACATATTGTTACTTGAATAGAGAGTTGTCTCATTGACACTCATACCTCATCTTCTTATATCATTCTACACCTTTGTATGGGACCAGCTTGCCTGATGGTGTGCAGCAAAGCTTTAATTTTATTAGAGACAAATGCAAACGAAAATTTATCAGTTACTGTCTGCCTCGACCACTGCAGATATCAAACACAAAAACAAATCTACAATAAAAAAAAATTTATGTACACTAATACAAATTAAATATCAAATTAAAGACACATTATTATAAAATAGCACAAAAAAATACAATGAACCGGTTGGGAGGATGGGAAACTTTACTGCACCAAAAGCGAACCTCGAATGACAATATCTTAAATTCAGACAATCTCCAAAGTTATTTGACGATATATTTGAATTTACCTTAGTTTTACATCGACAAATGAAAAACATTCAACCTATCATATACATTCTTCTTCTTCCAAAAACTGCCCACATTCAACATGATGAATATTTCGGCAAGTTGCGCATAATTAAAAACAGGTTTAAAAACAAATCGTTCTGTTGATTTAGTTTGAAGTTTTGTCACTAGAGACTTGAATATCTCAAGAGACTTTGCTGTGGCGATATCTGGTGGCAGTTTGTTCCAATCCTTGACGGAGTTTATGAAGAAGGACCATTTCCTACAGTCTTTGGTGGCTGGCTGTAATAGGTTAGTATGGTGTCCTGTCCGGTTTGAGCTCCTTGTTGGTTTTTGTAGATATTTATTCTTGTCTATGGCTACAAGGTCGTTTGTTATTTTGTAACACATGATGAGTCGAGCTTCTTTTCGTCTTGTTGTAAGCTTTTCCATCCTAATTCAGTTATCATGTTGCTGATACTTGTTCTATTTCTATGTCTGCTGGTTACATTTCGTGCAGCTTGTTTTTGTACCTTTTCAATTTTATCTATGTAGTTTTGCTGGTACGGGTCCCATACTGTCGTGACGTATTCCATTTGCGGTCTTACTAATATTTTATAGGCATGTTCTTTGGTGGATTTTGAGCTAATGTGGAGGCTTCGATGTAAGAAACCAAGGTTTCGACTGACTTTTCCGTTGATGTTGTTAATATGTTCTCCCAAATCTAGATCATTTGCAATGGTGCAGCCTAGGTATTTAGTCGACGTTATATGCACCAGAGTATGGCCTTGTAGTTTGTAGTCCCACTTGATTGGCTTTTTCTGAGACTGTAAGGACGCTGCATTTTTCCGGATGGAACAACATTTTTAAGTGTTTTTACCATTTTGCGAATTTGTCCAGGTCTTCTTAGGGTTTATGGTAGTCGTTATCAGAGGATATGGTCAAATAGACCACAGTATCGTCCGCAAACAGTCTCACTGTGGAGTGTAGGCCTTCTGGTATGTCGTTTATGTAAAACAGAGAGAAACTGGGTTCTAATACTGATCCTTGTGGTACTCCGGAGTCTACTTTCACTTTGTCAGATGTTTTGCCTTCAACAACTACAACTTGGGTTCTGTGGGTGAGAAATTCCCTCGGATGCCATAATTGTGTAGTTTATGGAGGAGTTAACTGTGAGACACCTTATAAAAAGCTTTTGAGAAGTTAAGTATTAGAAGATCTGATTGTTTTCCGTTTTAAAGATTTTTGGTGATGTTATCGATGCATTCAAGGAGTTTTGTTTCTTATGATCTTTAACTTCTGAAGCCGTGTTGTAGTGAGTATAGGATGTTATTTACCTCTGCATGTTTCCTGATGTTACTGGTGACAATATGTTCTATTAATTTGCAGCAGATACATTTTAGGGATATTGGCCTATAGTTAGCTGCTATGTATTTCTGGCCTTTTTCAAATGCCGGAGAGACATTTAATTTCGCCAGTCATCTGGTATCTTTCCTTTCTCCACTGAACAATTGTATATGATGGTTAAGATTGGAGTAATTTCACTTGCTAGTTCTTTCCGAATCATTGGTTTGATGTTGTCTGGTCCAGAAGCCTTGTGTGGTTTTAGATTTTTCAGTTGTTTTTCATTCCATTATTTGCGATGATTATTTGTTCGCTGTCTGGATAATTTTCTGGAGATCTGTCATATATTTCGAATAGGCTTGTCTTGATTTTCTTTGAATGGTCTGTTTCAGTTGTTTATATCTTTTAACATCAGTAGCATGGTTTGATTTCTTTTTCTTTTTTAATGCTCAGTCTCTTCGCCTCATAAGTTTTTTTGATTTCCTGGGTTATCCATGGGTTTTTATCCTTAGTTTGGATATTTCGGAAGGTATATGCTGGTAAGTACTGCTTTCAATGTCTACTTTGAACAAGTTCAAGAGTATATTGATGTTTGTCTTCTTGTTCAGGCTTTCTTTTGGAATTTTTTGATATATAGCTAATTCATATCTTCTTTTATGCTGAACCATTTAGTTCTTCTATACAGTTGGATTTTCCTGGCTTCTGGTTGTTTGTCATTGATGAACACATGTATCAATAACAATCAAGAACACATGGTAATGTTTACATGAGATTTTAGTCATGATTTAAATTATTCTCTATACTGATTGCTGAAAAGAAACAATGAAACATATGAGGTCCTTAATGGAATCTTATGTGTGCTTAATGATCATTACTTTATTCAAAGAAAAAGGTCAAAATGTAAATTCGATCATGTTGCGTAAATTTCTACATTTTAGATTGGCATTATGATACTTTTGATAGCTGCTGCTGCTGCTCTTGGGATAGCGTATGCTCTTGGTTGTTTTTCATCTAACACTGAGATTACGTCAACTACGCGGAACAGTACAGGAATTGAAACAGGTACGTTTGTCTCAGTGTTCTGGTTCTTTTTTGTTGGCAAATCCATTGAGATTTATGTGATAAATTCTGGATAAAAGATTTGAAACATTGTATTAAATCGGTTGTGTGTAGAAAAATTGCCTACCTTAATGAAATAATTCTATGTATATTTCGTGCCTACTAAGCTCATTTCAGGAATTTCCTCAAACCGGAACGCTCAAACCAAAATATTTGAAATCCAGGATGTATAAATACGATATAAAGTAAGGACCTTTTTGACCAAACCGAGGTAAAGAGTTAAATGTATTTATGACAAATGTAAACAATGCAAACGAGACAACCAACGGCCTAATTTATGTACAAAATATTGAACGAAAAACAAATATGGAACAGAGCAACAAGCGACAACTATTGAATAACAGGCTCCTGACTTGGGACAGGCACACACTGAATGTGGCAGGGTTAAACTAGTTCGTTAGCCAAACTCTCCCCCTGCCCTGGGATATTGGTGCAACAGAATAACCTAACATAAAACAAAAACAAATATAGAAACAGCAAAAAGCGACAACCACAACCTGTATGTGCCTATCTCAAGTTTAGAGCCTGTAGTTCAGTGTCTGTTATTTTTGTAGTTTCGTTTATTTCTTTGTAATAAATCAGGCTGTTGGTTTTTTTGGTTTCACCTCGATGAATTTAAAAAAGCAAGACTTAGGCAACAGTAGTGACGACAACAATGCATTAATTTGTGATAAGGTCAGTTTATGGGGATTCACTACTGGAATGTCAATAGTATTTGGTATTCAGTTGTAAAAGCATTGACCCAACCCATCTTTATGGAGATTATATGACCCCGTCCCTCAACCTGGTTCATTGCGTTTGAACTTTTGCATAGTTTACACTTTAAAGTTTGTGTTTATGTTTGTTTAAAAGGAACCTCTTATTATAAGACAAACATATTGTATATAGATATGTTTTCGTTGCTTCTCTGCTTAGCAGGCGGCATTAAGGAGTAAGCGCCAAGACTGGCCTGATTGGAATCAGAGTAATTTGTCCGTGAAGGGTGACATGTCTTTCTGCGGACTGTTACATATAATTCGCACGTTGAATTATCGGCTTAGCGCGTAGGAATAGGATTTCATTAACACGTTTTCGTCCTAAATATTATTTAATTTGCCCATGAACGTTAAACGGGTCAGCACCACTAAAATTCAAACGCCAGACTACATTTGCATAGTAATATCCAAAATGCTAAATATAAACACGTCTTTCAGCAATTGACAAAAGGATACAATAAACCTAAATGCAATGTGGGTTAGTACAAATTAATTATCACATAGAAACACGTGATTTAGTTGAGAAGTATATTTTGGTATTTATCTCGGAATCTCCTGTCCAATATTTTCGTTCTTATAATGTAATACGTGCATGTATTTATATTCAACTTGCCTGCTTTGATTTTGTTAACCGGTTTCAGCTTTTTCCCCCTCTTATCAAAGTTGCAATGAACAAGTTTTGTCCATTGTAATGCAACTGTACCTGTGCATTCATTTCACGTGGTATGAATAGCAAAGTCAATTGTTCAGTAAAAGTACTCTGAGCTCTTTAAAACAAGTTAAACATATTTTAGGAATGTGTTACATGATACTGTAAGCACTAGGAATTTTCGAATCATGTATGTTTATGTATTCCATAAATATTGCTCTTTCATTCAACACAGAGGCTATAATAGTACAAAAAAATCCAACATAAGCATCTTTTAAGATTTGTGTCGTTTGGCGTCTGTATCGTGAACAAATGTTTGTTTATCCACAATATTAACGGCGGCTGTTGTTTTATAATAATCTCGAACACTCTTTTCTTAAAACAGAAACAAATATTCCTTAATCTGACTTAAAACTAATCATTTATCTCATGATCTGTAGATCTTATCACATCAGAAGGAAAAATAACAGAATACATTTTTTTCGGCAATTTTGTGAAAATTTGCGTTGTATGTCAGTACGAAACACGTTTTCACGGTAAATTGTAAACACATCCGTCGTGCATTGCAACGAATTTCCTGGATTCATCATTGACCAAGGTTAACAGAATTGAGTATTATGTAAACAAAGAACTATAATGGTGGTAACATACGGATTCTAAATTATGTATAGTATGGATTTTTGACGAGGTCAATACATTATATATGGACCTGTTCAGATTATATCGACCGTGGACGAAGTGATTGTTATATTTCACAAAGGCTACCTTTTACAGTAAGTTATATAATTTTTCATTTCCAGAATTTATGAAAAATGTTGTCGAGGCCAAAGACACAGAACTTATAAAATCAGATGGTAAGTTGTTTTGATTTACAAGTAAAATTGATTCTATAGTTTAACAATAAATTACATCTGTGTTTGTCTTTTTACAGTTAAGTTTCATTCGATCTGAATGATCTTTGGCTATGATAATACATCATTAAAGGTTTTAAAAACAGTTTTTGAAAAGAAAACAAAATCAGTATTGGCTGAATAACGGTTAACATATTGTTAATATGAATTGCAGGGTCTGAAAGACTTTTGGAAATGTTAGGTTACAGAAGTAAACTCTTTTATTTTAACATTATTATGAATGGGAATAATATATCGAGTAAACAGGTTTAACATGAACAGTCAGTTCATTAGATTGAAACATAATTGAAAAGACGGATAAAAATTAATCATGAAAGAAACCAATAAAGAATTATTGAACGGTTATCAAAAGACTGGGAATTGCATAAGCCGGTATTTTGTCTCATATTTTGAGATTTTGTATTTGTTTAAAGTATATTCGTAGTCCAATGTAACTATCAAATTAATAAATACGATGCAGAAGTGAGTTCCATTTGTAAAATTGATAATGGAAACGGGGAATGTGTCATAGAGATAACAACCCGACCAAATAGCAGAAAACAGCATAACGGCCGCCAATGGGTCTTTTAAAATACAACAAGAAAATCCCACACTAGGAGGCGGGCTCCAGCTCGTCCTAAACAATAATGTACATTACTTCAGTGAAATGGACGTCACAATCAACTCCGAAACATACAATAGAACAAAAAATAAAAATAAAACACACAAGACTAACAAAGGATTAGGATTTCTGAATTTTCTTGTCTTCTTCTTCTTATCCTTCCAGTTAAGGAACCGGTTTCATTTAAATGTACATGGTTCCGCACGCAAACTTTGCTTAGTGCTGGGCAACACAGAAAGTTATAGCTTGGCTTTTTACATTTAAAATGTTCGCAATATTTTAACAATTAAAACTATGTACATTTCGGTGTTGCATATTTTATTCCAGAACATGCGTTCAGGGCAGCTCTGAATCCTTTAAATGTGTTTGGCGATGATATTGATGCTGGTAAATTATTTCAATACCTGATTATCCTTGGGAAGAAAGATTGCCCTGAGCATCTGTACTGTTTCTTTCTTTCTTGGTTCGAAGCGGTTTTTACCACCGGTTCGGTTATCGTTTGGAGTCAAATATTGTTCTGTTCTTTTTCACGGGTTCAACCGAACATAAAGCATTTCTTTCTGTACAAGGCTCAATGACACAAAACACAAATATTCCATGGGATGTAGGTTTGCAGCATCCAGTCATTTGAAAATACATTCGGAACATAATAACAACATGTGAACAAAAATTTAGAATGGCAGGTGTTACGCAAAAAACAGTCCTTATCACATTCTCTTCACTAGAAGTATGATCAATAGCCTGCACAATCTACAAAATATAATTACAATATATTAGAAACAATTCACAACTAAATAAATGAAGAAAGAAAATTGAAAAAAATACTGTAAATTGGGTGGTGTACATGTGCATCTATTGAATTGTACAATTCTATAAGAAAAATCGTATACGTGTGAAAGACAGTACCTATAGAATAAAAATAGTTTTTTAAACAAAAAAATAAAAAAGTCAATCAGACCTTAACTGCAATTGAATTAAACGTCTAGACTGGTTGAATGCAAACCGTCGAATGATTTAAATTCACGCTTAGTATGCACGGGTGAATCCACACGTGCAAATTACTACGCATAACGGTATTCGTTAAGCCTTGTAACGAAAAGAAATTTAATTATATTCTTTTTCACGGGTTAAACAGAACATAAAGCATTTCTTTTCTATATAAGGCTCAATGATACAAAACACAAATATTCTATGGGATGTAGATTTGCAGCATCCAGTCGAGACAAAAGGTGAAAGAGTGCATATCAGATGCCAAGGTTTTTAGTAACAGAAAGTATTTTTTTATACTGTCTTTCACATATCCGTCTTTAGCATTTTCGGATCGCAAACAGCCATGAACTTTGAAAAGTCTATCTGAAACACAGTTGTTTGCGGCTTGAGAAGCGCCTCCGCTTCGTAAACTATGCAAGCCAAATTGCTTTTTGTCTCACCCTATTGCGCTCAAAGCTTCATGAAGAATTTCTCTGGCTCTAGTATAAGATAAAGGCTTTTTTTTAAATACTAAAGTATCTTTTTGGGGCTGTAAAGAACGAAAAAATGTACTCTGATCAATTAATCTTAAGACTTGCCAAGTCACAATAATGTTTTAAAAAATTAACAGGACACGCCGGCATATCCGTACTTGCTATCATAACTATACTACCTTGTCTGTAAATATCGGTCTTGCTATTGTGAACTATAATTTCAACGTGTGTATTATGAAAACCGATATCACTCATTCTAATATGCGAGAGTTCTTTGTATCTAAAAAATCCAGCATAAGCCAATAATAACATACAAAGTAACCTACAGTTGGACAGGTTCGATTTATCATGATACAGGTTAAATAGTTTAACAATCATATCCGCTGTGATCGGTTCTTTCTTTGGATGGGTTTCGCCAAAAAAAAATTTCACCCTTCTAAGACAATGTTTGACAGTGAACTGCAGCAAGGGTTTGGATATAAAAACAGTTCGTGATACCACTTAATTGCGTAAAAGTTAGAATTAAGTACGGATACTGTACATGCTGATTGTATTAAATCTGAGATACAAGGAATCCGCTGGCAAAAACTTTAAATTGGACTTTCTGCACCAAATTTTGAATTCATTAAAATATAAATCGTATTGCTTGTTTGTGGAATCTGATTTACTCTTTTTAGCCATATCCATAACTGCAAAAGCGGTATAATGTAACCCAGGTTTGCGCAAGAGTTTGTAGATATCTTTCCATTCCTTACTCAAAGGGATCTGCAAAAGAAATAGAAAGATATGCAATATTTTTTCAAGGATAGAAAATCACGGCCAGGTCCGTGACACAAGCGGCCAGGTCCGCATATAAAGCACATGTGCACTGTACAATCTTCAGTCACAATATCAAAAAACAAAAAGCGGCAAGGTCCGCATAAAGAAATGTTTACTCAAAATTCATTCATTAATTTTTGGCATCAAGTTTCAATACAAGCACATTTGAAATAAACCTGCTTTCGTTGAAAACCGAATTCTCAACAGATCCCCTGTTGAAAAAATTAGACGGGTTTCATACTCACAAAAAATCTTGCACTAAACTAACAAACTTGCCGGTGTCAATTATTATCGCTTGTTAAAAGATCAAAGAACTTTGAATTATTACTAGAAATTGACAATGAGGGTCGGTTGAGAACAAAACTTTACGACAAAAGAGATGATTTCAGCTTCCCAATTGTGAACTTTCCATTTCTATGTAGCAACAATCCAGCAGCACATGCAGAGTATATATCTCCCAATTGATACGATATTCCCGGGCTTGTATTTCCTATCATGATTTCCTTGATAGAGGGTTGCTATTCACAAGGAAGCTATTAAACCAAGAGTTCCATATGGTGAAGTTGAATCATCCCTTCGTAAATTTTACGGACGCCATCACGAGTTGGTTGACCGTTATGGAATAACCGTTTCACAGATGATATCGGATATGTTCCTTATGTCGTAATTACAATCCACTTCCTTTTTCACCACGAATGTGACCTGCCGAATTAGACTATTTACCGGATTTGTAATACATGAGCAACACGACGGGTGCCACATGTGGAGCAGGATCTGCTTACCCTTCCGGAGCACCTAAGATCTCCCCCCCCCCCCTTTTTGGTGGGGTTCGTGTTGCTTAGTCTTTAGTTTTCTATGTTGTGTCTTGTGTACTATTATTTGTCTGTTTGTCTTTTTATTTTTTAGCCATGGCGTTGTCAGTTTATTTTCGATCTATGAGTTTGACTGTCCCTCTGGTATCTTTCGCCCTTCTTTTATTAAAATAATGGAAAATAATTCTGTCCGACACCGACCAATCGTCAAAATCAAAGATTTTACTATACTGATCCGCGGTAGTATTCAAAGTTCTTTCCATTCAATTTTCAAACACACAGAGTTTTCTATACAAAAATAAAAAAATCTCCATAGCTAGATTCTGCAAGTCCTGTTTTATACTGACAACTTGAGATATGTGAGCTACGTTTTGGTTATCAGTGAATAGTTTTACAAATTTATTTTTAAAATGATCCAAAAAGCTTTTCAGAGTCAAAATCACTGCCTTTAGTTCTCTCCAAGTTGAACTTTTAAGCTTTTCTTCGTTTGTCCGCAATTTGATCAGAAATATGCACAATGTAACCAGCACCCGCATATGAACTTGCATCAGTATAAGCTAACCTCTCGGGAAGTCTCTGTATTGGTGCTAACACGCAATTAGGTAAAGACTTTAGTGAAGCCAAAATTCTAAATCTTTAATAGACATAAGATCTAACTTAACTCTAGAGTCCCAAGAGGATCGCTCGTTTACTAAGTGATGTAAATGTCTTGTCATAATTCTACATATATTACCTAGTGCTGGTGATAATGCAATGATTTTACCAATAACCGCTGCAACTTTCCTTGCAGTGGTATTACAAGGATTTACAAGTGCTAAGGCAATAAACTTCAAAATATTCAACATTTTCTTTTCGGGTACGCTTAAAATACCCCTACGTAAATCCCATACAAAACCAAGCCAATCTAAACTTTTTGTGGCTTCCACACACTTTTTTCATAATTTGGCAAAAAAAGCAGCTGACAATAAGTCAGACAAAACTTCTTTTGACTCATTTAAACATAATTTTTCAGTATCTTCAAATCCAAGTCCATCATCTAGATATACAATTATTTTGAATCCTTTACTACGTCAATATTTTACTAAAGGGCGTACCTTTTAGTGAAAATGTAACAAGCTGAGCTCAGCCCAAAAGGTAAAGCTGTAAACGTGTAAAATTTAACTTTACTGTCACTTTTCCATGAAAACCCAAGAAACTTTTGTGATTCAACATGCATATCTATATGATGGTACCCGTGTCTCAAATCAAACTTAAATGCAAAATGTATAATTGATGCATATATTTTGGCCTCTTTTACACCCTCATATTTAAATTTAGATAACACTTCGTATTGATTCACGTGTCTAAGGTCAAGAATCAACCTTTCATTGCCAGTCGAGTTGACCGACACCGATAAAGGATTAACAACCAATTAGCGACTCCCGTGCATACCAAATCTGCAATTGGACGTTTAACAAACTCTTTATGTTCAAAAGCAGATCTATAATAATTGTTATTCAAAAATACAGAAGTAGATGTATCGGTAAATTTAAAAAATTGCCTGATTCAAGTATAGGTAAAACTGATTTTTTTAAACTATCAGCCAATAAAAGTTTTTCTTTCCAAAATTGTAAGCTATTATATAATCGACCTTTTACATTATAAACTTGTACTGACTCGTTCTCATACTCGTATGTGTCTAAACATAAATTAAAGTCAATCAAAGATAATACCTCATTTGGAACTGTTGGTGTTGTTTGACTAGTTGGCTTTTTCTGGACAGTTAGACGACCAGTGTCCTGTTGCACCACAGTAGTAGCAGATGTCTTGGGGAGATGATCCTTTCCTTGTTCTGAAGTTTGCGGGACTGGATCTTGGACCCTTATATCTTGGTGTTGTTTGTGAACTATTGGTATAGCTTCTTGTTTCATGTGTTTCGCTAAGGCCACGAAAAAGTTTGTCAGCTGCAAATCTCTTTGATGTGTCTTTGGTTGCGACTGCCTTTCTTTTAAGAATTGACCTGGTTTCGGCCTGTCGTAGACGGCGCTCATCATCAGAGTTATCAGCAAGAGGGTTACCTTCATACTCGCTAACGGTGTCCCAACGATGCTTGTCACCAATCTTTATAGTTTTGTTGCGAGCAGCAATATCTTGATGGACTTTTTCAATAGTTTTTAGGGCAAAGTCACGATTATCTGAAGAAATGGCGGCTTTCAAAATATCAATGTCCTTGGAAACTTGGTCGTTAAATTCACACTGCTTTTTATTGCTAATGAATTTGAACTTAAAGTCAGGCTTACTTGCAGGTTGGTTT